CTTTTTTTTTTCTTTTTTTAACTCAGTATTCTCAGCAGAGCAAATCCAAACTGTATCTTTCTCAGCTTTGTGACCAGGAGAATCTCATTTTCTCTCCTCAGAAAAAACCCTCAGGATTTTTTCCCTCACTCTCAGTGACAACTCTGAAAACAGAGTTAGCTTTGTAGCTAACAGAAATCTCTGCTTTGAAGACCTTCCATGTGCCAATTCCAAAATTGAAGTTTTGTTCACACTGGGCCTTGACAGAGAAAGGATCACTGTCACATTAGTTTTGAAGACCAGTGAAGACCCCAACATTCTCCAACCAGGCTGTTTTGTGTTCCCACAGAAATCACACATTTAGTGGAGCAGCCCTTGAAATTTATGGAAGTCTCCACATTCATACAGTAATAAAGAACAAAAACCACCTGGGTTACTGTTCTTCTGGTACTATTTTGTAAACATAAAGATATTGAGAATACTTAACCATTCATTCCTTCCTAATTTTGCTTCACTAAAGCAAAATTAGAGAAAGCATGGAGAAACTGAATTAGCATCCCTTGCTAGATTGTGGAGATATTTGTCCTCCATTTGTCCTTACGCCATGCAATACTTATTCAGTCTCAAGTTGTATATTCTATATTTATTTCTTTTCCTTAGTAACGTTGAAAATATTTGTATACCATTACATCCATGATAAATGTCTAAAAACTGTCATTTAATAGAAGGTTTTGGTTGGATAATTATTGACATATTATTGACTCAGAAGTGTTCAGTTATATGACATTTAATCATGCCACCCAAAAGAAGCCAGATTAGCTTTTATATTGACAGTAGGCTGGGATAAAGGATAGCAGAGTCAGAGCTTGCATACTTAGCATTGAATAAACCATATTTTCTAGGCTGCTTTACATAAAAACAGATATGCTAGATCAAACTAAAAACCAAAAGATTTTTCTCAGCTAGTGGCCCACACCTGATGTTAAGGAAAAAAAGAACATATGAAAGACGGAAAGTAGAACAGTAGCTGCCAGCTACTTCTGTTTCAAATAATCCATCTCATGTTTAATAGCTCTTCACGGTCTTTCTTTAAAAAATTGTTTAATCATTTTTTAAACTTATTTGTAATTTTGGCATCCAATGAAAATTAATCTCAACATGTAATATTGTTATGCAGGAAAGAGCTTTCTTTTGTTTGTTTTAAACCTGCTGCCTAATAGTTTCCTTGGGTACCCCACAGTGAGTAATCATTCCCTATTCAGTTCCTTCATGTCATTCATAATTTGCTATTCCTCCCTCACACCCACATTTTGTTGTCTCTTTTCCAAGCTGAGGATTACTGCTACACAGTTATGTCTCACACAAGTTGTCCCCTACCTTAGCCCTCCCTCTCTGCTCTTCTCTCTGCCCTTTCTATGTCTCTTTTCCTCTACATTTCCACAAACAATTTACTATGATTCCATCTCATCAATGTACATATAATGAAGCTTTCTAATGCGTTTTTATTATTATTTCTACTCTTTCCCAGTGCTTCCTAGTATCCTGTTTTTCTTTTGATAGTGGTGGCTGAGATTTGGGCTAATGTCTTAAAGGAATTAATCAGAAGAATTTCGAGATCTTTGCTAATTTAGAGTCCACCACTATGAGCTTCATCATTAAAACTGTTTTTCCCTCAGGAGGTTTACTTAGAATTAATTTAGTCTTTTCTCAACCAACCACTCAACACTAATTCCTTACACAACTCCTTACAATAAGATTTGTCTATCTTGAATAATTTCATATCTGCCAAAAATTGTCTCATTATTTGCACCCTTTGCTAGATCAATTAAGAATATATTGAGTGGCACACAGCTCCATCCATTCATCTACAAAATCTTTTAGAAAACAATAATCTATCCTACTCTTTTTTCCCCCCTGTTTTTTAACCCATTTCTAATTCAGGAATAAATTTATTCCATATCCCATTATTGGAAAGATGGCTAGCAGTATAATCAGAGGAAACTGAGAAGTTATATTCACATCCTAAAAGGAGTTACAGCTGTATGGATATTGTACGGTAAAATGTAGCTGCTGCTCCCTGGATGGAAATGGCTGGCATGCTCCACAAAGATTCCTGATACAACTGTAAGCACCTGCTGAGGGGGATGGAATGGAGGGTGGAGCAGAGTGGAGGCACTATGGGCCAGGCTCTGTTGAAATCCTTGCAGGGAGGGAACCTCGATGGCATTTTTCAGCTGTTAAAGAGCATAGCACCTGTCAGCCAAGGGAGGGGAGAGGTCCTGCTGCTGAGCCAACAGCTGTGGCAAAATCCCTCTCCTAAGATTCATTGGTTCTCTCCCTTGGCTCATTATAGCCTAATTGTAATGTTAACACACAACTCCATCCCAAAGTTATCCATCCCCAAGGTGCAAGCAGTACAGCCACCCCTCACTGGGTATGGGCTCCATATTGTTATGGCTGTGTCTTTAACAGCAAAGCAAGAGAACTGTACGAGTCAGTAATAAAGGTATTTAGAACTCGAGTCACTCAAGCTCCACCTCAACATAAAGAATTAGTATGAAAGTAAGATAAGAATGCAGTGAAAGTTAGGAAAGTCTCCATTTTAACTGCTGGGATCTGTCAATAAGCTGAATCTCTCTTATCCCCATAGGGACTCCTATTGGGTAACAATCATACTCTGTGTGTGTGGAATACTTTTACTGGGGATGAGAGCTTTTCTGTGTATTGCTTTAAATGTGTATTTGCAGTCAGGTATTATCACTGACAATCCCCTAAACTTAACCTGTCACAATTTTATATAACAAAGACTGTTATTCCGTGAACTGTTGCTTTGAGTCCTTCACAGATGCTGGCAGTTGCCAGCAGGGGGTAACACATGCAAATAGAGAGCAAACCCCACTGAGGGGTCGAAAAGTGGGAAGACCAGCTGAGGGGTCTCCCTTAAGCTGCTGGCAAATTTCCCTGGGCCGCCCTCCGATCCTCTGACTCTGCCCCCAGCCTGTAGCACTGCCTGGGGTTGCTGTGACCCAAGGGCAGGACTCAACACCTCACCTCATTGCAGCTAACACAATTGGCCTGGGGCCATGGATCCAGCCGTCCAGATCTCTCCAGAGCTTTCCTTCCCTCCAGCCTGTTAACACTCCCCCCCAAACGAGTGCTTTCTGCAAACTTGCTGAGGGTGCATTTAATCCCCTTGCCCAGATCATGAGCAAAGGTGTCAGACAGGACTGGTCCCACACTGAGCCCTGGGGAACGCCCTGGTGCCCGGCTGCCACCTGGGTGCAGCTCCTTGCACAGCCACTCCTGGGCCTGGGCACCCAGACAGGTTTTTAGCCAGGGGAGAGCACACCTGTCCAAGCTTTGCCAGGAGAATGCTGTGGGACACAGTGTCAAAGGCTTTGCTGGAGTCCAGGTAGACAATATCCACAACCTTTCTACTAGGTGGATCAGCTGCTTGTAAATGTTCAGGCAGTTCAAGCAGAACCTGCCTTTTCTAAACCCATTCTGGCTAGGCCTGATCCCCAGCTTGTCCTGTACGTGCCCTGTGATGCACTCCAGCTAATCTGGGCCATAACCTTCCCTGGCACCAAGGTCAGGCTGACAGACCCACACCTCCCCAGATCTTCCTTTCCTTTCCTTTCCTTCCTTCCTTCCTTCCTTCCTTCCTTCCTTCCTTCCTTCCTTCCTTCCTTCCTTCCTTCCTTCCTTCCTTCCTTCCTTCCTCCCTCCCTCCCTCCCTCCCTCCCTCCCTCCTTGCAGATAAGCATCACGTTGTCTGATTTCCAATCGTGTGAGACCTCCCCAGTCAACCAGGCTCACCCAGATCACAATGACCTTGATTCAGGGATACAAATAGTGCTTAATAATTTTTTCTCAACAGCTTTTTTTTACCCAAACTGGTTTTGGGGTTTTGTTCCAGCTCAGTGAGCTCCCTTGAAATAAGATCAGAATGAAGATTTGCTTGTTTAACCCAGACATAAATTCACTAAGGCCACCCCAGCACAGTGAGGAATAGTCAGTGTTTGGGAAAAGAGTCTCATATCAAACATGTATTGAATGGTTTAAAACCACTGTGCCACGAAGCAAATATTGAACACAATCCAAAGGTGAATAAAGGTGACTAAACACTATATTTGGGCCTCTTACTTTCTTAAGTGAGTATGAAACCAGGAACAACTTCCAGGACTGCCTGAAATTTAAATAATAGGAGCTGAAGAATGTCAGCACCACTGCCAAGAGGAATTTTCCATCTTGTAATTACATGGATTGCAACCAAAGCCCTCTTCTACGCACTTCACACTAGAAAAGCAATATTTTTCTTTCAAATACACTTAAAATACAATAAAATATTGCACACAACCACGTTATGCAAGCATGTAGAGAAATCAGATTTAGTCAGTCTAAGATATAGACAAGTATCCACAAATCTATGGACACAACATTGAAAATAACTTCAACTACATGTAAATCTGATTTTGCAACAAAGTTATATTAATAGAAAACAAAAAAGGTTTTTTCTTTACTCTCTTCAAAATTAATACATTTTTCTCCATTTCTGTACACTCTGCTCTGTTGATTTTTTTCTGACATTTTTAGATTATTTTTTCTCTTCTTCTCTTGATTGCCCTGTACATTCTTTTATTTGTCTACGTGACTTTCTTCCTCTTTTTAGCCTCTCTTGATTTATTTTGTTGTGTTCAAATAGCAGTGGTACCTAGAACATGGCCTCTGTCTAAGTCAACCTCAGCTAATTTACATTTCTTTCATAAGAGGGCACCCAGGGAATAGAAGCCCTTTTCCCCGATACCTCAGGATCTAGGTGCAGTCTTGTCATAGAGCCATCTTAAAACAGTAAGAATAGGACACATAATGGCTTAGGAATCTTTACACCTTTTTGCATTCATAGAAAACAATAGATAACCTCCAGTGCTATCTTCTTTCTTCTCTAGTTTTCCATTTGTTTTGTTCAATATTATGTTGTTATAAAAACAAAATAAAGCTGGTTGTCTCTTTTCTCCAAGTGATACTTCTTATCTCCTTCTATCTCTGTGACACTGGACCATTCATCCGAGCTACTTCCCACACAACAACCAGGAGAACACGGAACCAGGAAACAAGAATGGAAACCACATTTGTCTTGCAAACCCTGTTTGACAATTTCTCCACCAAACTTTGTTTGTGGTTATAAGGACTTCATTTATAGAAAGATGGCCTGTGATGGATATGAAGCCATGTTAACATCAGTGAAATGCCTGAAAACAGTCCTCAGAGAACTTCACACAAATACAGAGCCAGGCTCCAGCTGAGACAAAAGCCAGATAAGTTATCCAGGAATCAAACAATCATTTGCACATTTTTTCTTGCCAACATCATGAGGTTTTCAAGGACAACACTCCACCCTAGTACTCCTGCTCTAATTAACTCACAGTGTAATCAATGGGATGAGTAGCTGTGAAGCTCTGAAGAGATTTTGTCTGTGTGTAAAACATTAGACTGTAAGTTTTTGTTGTTGAATATACATCTATTCACGTAAGCTAACAGGTGTTTGCTCCACTTTCTGCAATTTAAATGTTTAACCTTCAATTCTATTAAAATCTATTGATGAGAAGAGGAGGTTCTTTTAACAGAGTGCTAATAAAGCATTCATGAAGCCTTCTCAAGCATACTCTGCCAATTATTTCTCCATGAGGTTCTTGCAAAAAAAAAAATCTGCCTTAGCTTGTGACAAGTTCTGCATCCCAGAAGTGCCTGAGCTTAAGAAACTCTGCACTTTTTCTACATTTAGACAAAAGTGCTTCTCTTAGCCAAAACTCCACAAATTCATTAATGAAGAAATACATCACAATGTGTTCTTTTTAGAGGGTGAAATCCGAAGAATATTACAGCTATCAGTTTGTCTAATCATTATCATTTTTTTAAAAGATCAAATTAAATTCCTGGAAGTGAGAGATTCCTCCTTCAGAAATGCTTTAATTAATAATAAAAATAACCATGAATGCTACTGGGAATCAATTAATTGTTTACACTTACTAATAAGTCAAGACATCCAATGCTTCTACAAAAATAGAATAATTGGCCCAATCTTATGTTAATAGATTTTCAACCTTCACAAACATCAAAGTCATAACTTAAGCAGTAAATGCCATAACAAGATTGGTTGTTAGCCTCTTGGACAATAAAGAGGTGGATTAACTCCTTGAACAGAGTTCTTTATTTTGCCTGTATCTTGGTTAAAGTGTTGGATTGTCACTGATTCTCTTTTTGATTTTTTTTTAGACTGAAATGTCCTTGCCATTAGGAGTTACAGCAATACTATGCACTGCATGGCCTTTGTGACTTGTTATTTATGCACCCATAAATAAAGTTCTTTACTAATTGGTTAAATAGTCACAGTATGTTTCTTTCTTTCTAGGGTTCTTGTTATGTTGTCAAAAGAGTTTTGTTTTCCTCTGTGTTGATGTAATGGGGTTTTTTTTCAGTTATTTTGGAATAGCATTGGTAAAGGATTGTCCTGATGCAGCAGAAAATCCAGACACATTTACCTTTGCAATAGGCCTCTGTACATATTTGCCAGATTTCAAGTTATGCCTCATTGTTCCACCTAGCCATATTTCAAATGTAGTCTATTTTCAGTTTTGAGTTGCAGGGGTTTTAGCTGCTCTGCTACTTGCTATGGCATGTTTTCTGTCTGGGGACTCTTCACGTGAAGCCACATGCCATGTCAAAGAAGCAATAACCAACCTCTGTTCAGATTCACTCTAGCACTAAAAAGAAAAGTACATCATGTTTCCCACAGAGACTTTCATTCTGGATTTATTTTGAGTTTCATGTTTAAAACAAAATTATGAGGTCTTGAAAGCAGAAACTACTATGGAATGTGGCAACATGATTTCCAATACACTAATAAAATGTTTTTTAAAAATCTTTTGTTTGTTTCTTGTACTCTTTATTACCTAGATGCGAGATGATTTAGATGGCTGTGTGCTTTTTGTGTCCCACCAGACAAGAAAGCAGTGGCGTACCTGCAAGTCCGACAGGAGGCAGGAGGAAAGGTGCCCTGGTCAAGGGAGCCAGGACACTCAGAGTCCTGTACCCAAAGGAGGAAGCAGCTGCTCCTCATCATCACGTGAAGAGAGGCTCAGTGCTGAATGAGTGAGCATGACAGACAAGACAGAGGTAAACCACATCACATCTTATAAAAGCTTCCAACAACAAGCTACTGAAAACTGCGAGAGGAATCCATGAGCTGAGGCACTGTTGGAACATGTATTAGCACTGCCTTGCTCAGGAGCAATGAGAAATTATTTGATGAAAGTTAATAATTTTTCCCACAGAGAGTTACAAAAGCAAATTGTGCAGCAATTGCTAATATGAAAAAGGACCTGCTAGTCCACTTCAATGCTTACATGTAGTTTGTCTTGTCTTTTCAAGGTGTTCAAGTACACAGACAGTGGGATCAGAGCAGTGATCATTCTCAGCGATAGAGACCTTGTGTTGACAGACATGCCAGAAAAAAGGAGACAGCAGTTGAAAAATATGTATCTCTTTTATAACAAGTTACAAAACTGGCGTGAACTTAAGCTGTAGTTAAAATAGGAAATAGAGTAGCAACACAAAAACATTCTCATCTTCAGAAAAAAAATAAACTAACAGATCATTTTTAAGGTGCGTTAGACAGACAACTGCTCAAAGCAAAAATAAATCTAAACACCATAGTCTAAGCAGGCTAATTTTGACATTTTTAGCAAGGAAATCTCTATGGGCTGTACAAAAATCAGACAGTTCTAACATGGCATGGTGGGATTAGGTAGCTACAAGTTTGCTCAAAGAGAACATTAAGTACTTGCTCTTTGTCTGAGCATGCCTGGTCACCAGAAGGGCTGGAGAAGGAATCATTATGAAATTGCACTGGCCAGAGTATTGAAATACCCTTAACAACTGGCATGGGATCATGTTGGTAGCTGTTTGTGACAGTGGCACTGCACAGTTTTGCTGATCAGAATAACAGCATGCTAACAACTGCAGATTTTAATCCCCCTGCTTCCCTGTTAGTGTCCTGTCAGTGATATTTTGCCATTCCTTCATCTCCCACGGTAACACAATCACATAGGAAAAATTGCTAAACAGAGTTGGCAAAAGAGTTAGGTGACTCTTTTCATTTAGAAAAATTTCAATAATGTAGGTAAGGCTATCTGTGATAGACGGTGAGATATTTCTTTGGGAAAACACACCTTTTACAAGTTTTGTGACTAAAGGAAATGTCCTGAGATATCCAAATGGAAATAAATTTATTGGCTGAATATTTCCAGAATTGTTACATGCAGATATATCTCTTTTTTCATTCCCGTTTGTGAGTTATAGCAGGTCTCTTGCATGAAATCAGAATTCTGAAGGAGCACAGAGAACTGAGTTTTGCTCCTGTGTCTAGGGCTGTGAAAGAGCCACAAGTCTTGCCAAGGCAGGGCTTTCAATGTGACATGTGACATACCACAAAACCACCAAGCAGAACAAAGAGGATTTGAAGAATGGAAACAACCAGCAGCTCTGCAGCAGAAGGGATGCAAAGGGAAACTTATCTCACCATCTCCTTGCAAAAGCTTTTATTTTTGCAAGCCCAATTACCACTAATGCCATATTAAAATGTTATAAAATTGCTTAAAGCATTTCTCAGGACCCTCTGGGATGATATTTCATCTGCTTGCTCTATATCAAAGTGCAGAAAAGTAGCTTGATTGGAATGGGGGGGAAAAACAAAACAAAAAACTATTAGTTGGGTGTTCTAGTGCTGAGGAGCAATGTTATTCTGTATCTTTCTTCATACTTGTATTGTTGAGTGGAAAGATGTAATTATAGACAAAGTGTATCCCCAAAGCAAACTAAACTCATGCACTGCAGGAAGTGAGTTTCCCAGCTTTGAAGCCAAGATGTGGGACTGACAGGTGAGGGGGTTTTAGCACTCCTGGATCACATTGCTCCCTCCATCACATTCACAGTCACTCTGTGACAATTAGCCAGCATAACCAACAGTCATCTCTCACTGTGGTATCATTTCAAATAGAAAAAGTCCTGGTGCAGATATACACTGCAAAGAGTAAATAAAACAAGGTTATTATTCTTTTTCTAAAGAAAAGATATTTTTTAATAAGAATCTTTTAGTAAACAAGACCATAGCCAGGAAACAGTCTTGTTGTTCTCTTTTGATTTAATCTGAATGGAAATGCAGTAACAAATAATATGCATTTTTTAAAAGACCTTTTCAAACCATACAGCTGTCCTTATGCCTCAGAGTTAATTCTTTAATAATTTGCATGAAAAATACTAAGGGCCAGAAAGTGGAGTAGGGCACAGAGGAAAATGAGATTGAGCTTCACTTTCATTATAATCTCTATTCAACTCAAGGAAATATTTGTTGAGGCTGGAAATCTTCCCTTTTCTGAAGTACAATTTCCATTTCAATTTTTTAAAAACCTCAAGTATGCACCAGAAAATAGTGGTGTTTTTCCAACATTATATTTTGGTTATGCTAATTCAGATAGAAAGCAAACACTGTTTTTCAAGTCAGATAGATATTTAAGATGTTTATTTTTTATGTAAATTTTAAGAAATTGCATGCTGTCAGCTTCATGCTTTCTGCTCCCTTCTCTAAGCTGATAAATACAAAAAGTGTATATCTGCTTGGTGACATTCCCAATATATAAATGCATACTTTCAACAACGACATGTCCTTTCCTAACATTTTTTGGTTTGCATTTAACAAAATAACCGCAAATGTCAGGTATTAGAAGGTTTGAAACAACCTTTTCTATTTTGTTGTCTTTAGAACCCCATCTTTTATTCATGACTTTTCTCTTAGTGCTGGAAGGGAGGCTGTGTTGCTATAGCAATGCCCTGCATATCCTTGTGGATAGCTTACAGTTTCACTTTTTTTAAGCAACAAAGAGCCATTGATACTACATGTTGCCAAAGGTTACAAAAGTTGAATTCTAAAATGGAAATATTTCTTCTATAAGACTACATAGGATATATGCCATGCAAATTCAAACCTTCAAGTAAACATACAGTCCTTTTGTGAATGCAGATGAACCTAACATAGTACTGTTTGGCTTCAATATAATATTTGGAAGAAACGTGTTTAAAATATAATTGCTATCTACTCTTTTCAAGACATAAATGTACCAAAATGTATGACCTACTATTACACCTTTCTGACCTGCAGTATAAATAAAACCTTTCTACATTTTAACAGATCTGGAAAATAAATCACAATCTCATATTCCAATTATGATTTAATAGTAAATACACTTCCAATGTCAGGGAACAGTCACCTTATAGAAGATTCTCTGCCCACAATGGATATTAAATATTGTTGAGTGTCCTTCAAGACTTGTTCAAGTATGGGGGTTTTTCCTACCCTAATTGATTTCTCTTCTGTCAGATTTGACTCACTCAGATAGATGTTTACATAGTACAAATTCAATAACGGTTCAACAAGTTAACTCAAATAAAGAGTTAGAAGGAAAAAAATTAGGGTTACAGGCATAAAAAGAAATTTATACTCATGATTCAGCAGGCAGCAGCAAGTTACTCAGAACAGATCAAAGAAGGTAACATGGGCAAAACATCACCCATCACTACTATGGAGCAGCAAATTAGAGAGGAAATCCAGACTTTTGCACCCTGAGATACCTTCTGTTCTGGTTTTACAGCAGGTGCTGCTGCCTCACTCCCTGATGGGAGGCACGGAACCATCCCAGGCGCCGTTTCCATTGAGCGATTCAGTTCTGTGTGCAATCGCTCCGACACCGCTGCCCGGCAGCACAAGGGCCAGGCTCAATTCCCACACCACTGAAACACTTCAGAGGCAGAGCCGCTCCCCGTTCCACGCAAACCTGGCACAGGAAGGCCACCTCTCGACAGACAGCGACAATGCCACCTGCAGCCCCCCCGTGCCCGGCAGGCTCAGCCCTGCCCGCTCCTCCCTTGCAGGCGGAGGGAGTTCGGGAAAACAGCCATCCTGTCACCCAAAACGTCTGGTTTCCTTTCCACATCTCACCACATTTAGAAAAGGTGCTAAAACTACTGCAGGGTAGATCACCACACAGGAAGCAAGGGAATATTTATCAAATATTATCCTGAGCATCCTGAACAATCAGGGCTCTGAACAATCCAACTCCGCTATCAAACAGAGTGGGACATGCAGAGTTAAACTGACTTTGATTCATTGGAGAAAAAAATTGAAAAAAGGAAAAGTAAAAACATACAAGATTCACAGGAGCCAAGACTACTGCCCCAGCAGAGCCTCTAGCAATTTTCCTGACCCTGTCCTCCTCCAGGTGCTCCTGATCCCATGTTCCTTCTGAGAGCCTGGTCTGCTGGAAGTGGTTCTGCTGCTGAGGATCTGGTCAGCTCTGCTGCTCTGCCAACCCACATTTTGCATCAGACCTGTGCAGCACAGTGGGACAGTGACATGGCAAATCCACTCAAGGACTTTGTCCCAAAGGAGCTTTGGCACCTTTTTTCTTTTCTCTGCAAGCCCTGAACAGCAGAATTGGATTATGGTAGCTCCTTTGTCCCAAGGAAAACGAGACTGCTTGAGATTTTCCCAACGTGTTTATAACAGCTCTGTTCTTCCTGGTTTTACAGTTTTATTTTGCAGCTTGTAAAAACCCCTTGGAAGTTTAAGAAGCTGCCAGTAGGAGCAGGTTTCACTGCCACAGTTTACCAGCCTATGTCAGCCATCACTTTCTGAAACAGACTCAGAGGGACAGGAAAGCTCTGAATTCAGATTCCTGGAGAAGCACAGATCTTTGTCCTCCTTTACATCCCCAGCCAGGCACATGAGGAAATGTAAACAACACAAATAAAAGACTAGAGTGCCACAGCATCAGCTCATATTCTCCAGATTACCACAGAACATTTTGCTAAACAAATATTTTAACGTTCCTTTTTTTAAATGATGACAGTTCTGCAAAGCTTGCTGGACATTCCTCGCTAGACATCTGCAAGAGCGCTGTTTGTGAGCTGGCTCCCCCATCAGAAATGGTCCACAGAAAGAGTCTTCAGGCCATGACTTCCTTCCCTTGCTTCCTTGACAAACCAGGAGAGTTAGGAGGGCAAGCCCTGCTGTACTCCCCCGGGCAGCTCCTTGCTGCTGTCCTCATGCCCATGCAGCCCCTGTGAGTGCGGCAGAGGCTGCCAGCATGGGGATGCAGACCCAGAATCCAAGCTGGCTGTGAAACCTGTTTGTCTTTTGGCATTTGATGTCACATCCTTTTTCTGAAACATTTTTTCTTCCTACAAGGGGAAATGATGTGTGCAGGGTGATGGGCCAGGAATGCTGTCACAGACATTGCTGTTGAGATAGGGCCAAGGACAGGCAGAACAAAATTCTCCCTGTGCCCCCTCTTGTAAGCTTATCTCAAGTATGTGGTGGAGGCCAGATTTTGCGTGTATGTTGGTTGTGACTTATTGGTCACAATATTGATTTTGAATTCAGGCATGGGCTTATCTCTGATGCAGACACTCCAACCTCTCCACTGAAACGGGAAGCCCCAGTTCCTTTTAAACCCCACAAGTTGGTTTAGCACAGCTTTTCTAGAGCCCCAGTTGTGGGCACCCTGGGCTTACTTTTACCAACAGTTTCCTCTGTCAGATGCCCCTCCCAGAAGCACTGTTGGGTACCAGGGTTTCCAGCAGGATCCATCGCTTTGGCTTCTCACCCGGAGGCATATCACCACAGCACAGATGGCAAAGAAATCCCTGCTTAAAATAAAGTTTTCGGCCTGATACAAGGTGTGCAATACTACGTGCAGCTAATAGACTCTACACATCAACTCCTCCAAAATACTCTACACAGCTTTTATTATTTGCACCTCCAAAACCTAACCATGGGCCACAGCTGAGCTGGAACCCAAACTAGTCAGGCTCACCAAGTCTCCATTTGGAAAAAACCTGCAACTACCACACAAACACACCTGAATCTTTTATGCTCATTCTCTGGGGCTCTCCCTGCTGGCAGGCTGCCTGCTAAATCCAGCCTCAGTGGGTTACACAAAGCAGTTTGAGGTGATTGGGAAATTTTGTCTTGTGGGTTTGTTAAAAATAATTGCCTTTACCAGCCATTTAATATTCTTGAGGATTTTTGTTTCATGAATTGTGGGATTTAGTGTTTGAAAAGTTGCTAGTTCAGTAACAAATTCATTTGTTGTCTTCCTACTTTAACCAAAATTACAACTCCTGGGTTAGTCTGCTTGCTCTAATTTCCACTGTGACAGAACCCAGCATGATAATCTTTCCCCAGTATAGATACCTGTAGATACTCCTCCCAAATTGCGTGCAATATTGAGTGCTGCCTCTCCCTCTTCACAAACCCTCTCCAGTCTTTTTTTCATGCTTCCCTCACATTGCTAGTCTAACTTTTGACCCTTACTCATCGTTCTTCTCCGACACATTCTACAAATGCCTTCTCTACCATATGTCTGCTCTCACAATGCCAAGCCCCACCTCACCATGCTCTTAAAGATGAAGTCTTGGCTTATAACCCTAGAACATAAATGTAAAAGGTACTCCTGGACAACACCAGTTCCATACACAAGATTGGTGCTGGTCAATAAGGAGTTGTCACTGTCTAATTTATAAAAGCCTTATGTGTAATTGTGTTTGTCTTCATTTCTTTGCTGTGTTTGGACATAGTGTTTCATGTTGCAAGTTATACATAAACCAACATGCATTGGACCTCCCTCTGAAGCAGAGATCAGTGCTTATTGACAGATAAAACTCCAGGAAGATGGAGCTGAAGTTAAGATTCCTGATGCAATGTCTTGGGGTAAAATCATTACAGGGCTGAATTGTAACCATTCTAAAAATCAGATTTATAAACTTGGTAAAACCAGGGTAAATCACGCTTAAAACAACTTCAAATATGTGAAAATATCTAGAGTACTGTTATAAGCCCTTTTTATCATATTGAAGGGCCTTACACACTGGCCTGAAATAACACTAGCTAATAATCATGAGATTCTGATTTGGCACATGTGGTTGTTGAGGTCAAGTTAAGAGACCTGCACCTATTCCATGGAGTGATGCTGAGGATTAGAGTTTTAACATAGCTTTTTGAGAATTTGTTCTTAAAAGTGTAATAGGAGATGCTATGGCAGACCATGAGAAAATGAAAAAATTCCACAAATGAAAAGGGGCTCATTGATGATGAGTGATTTAGTGCTTCTGTGTCCAGTTAAAATTTTTAAAGAAGAATTAATTTTTTATATTTTCTTGATCTCACAAGAAAGGGTATTCTTACAGTCATTCACATAAAAATAAAAGTTTCAGGAAGTTTTTACATTACTAATTTTTTAATTAGTTTCAAATTATTTGCATATTGAAATTCAATATTTTTTGAATAAAAGTGCAACCCTGAGTCTATCACATTTAATGAAGAAAATCTCTGTAGCATTCATATGTGCCAGAGGAATATTTTTCATGTATTAAAGAGCTCTCCAGTGGAGAGATCTGGGTTGCTACCTCTTTCCTAAATCAAACAACATGGCGATAGGAATGTAGGTTTCTACATTTTTGGTGGGAGTCTTGATTACTGATTATAAATAGTTTTAGGAGTTTTCTCCTTACTCTTCCTGTGAAGGCTCCCTAACACCCTAAAATTTGTATTAAACCAAAATAATGGATCAAATTTCGCTGGAATGTGCAAAACTTTTCCTTTCACTTGAAACTTTCCACTGAAAAAAATATCCTATTGGGCACATGAATTATTAATCAAATTAGAGACAGCACTCTTGTGTTCATTTTCAGCTTTGAGAACCATGGTTAAAAACTGAAGAAACATCTTCAGTTAGAAAGAATTCATCTGTTTTATATCAGGATGCTTTACTGTAGAAAGTACTAAAGGATGAAGAATTCTCCTCCTTATTCTCCTGTCCTTTTCAGTTATAGCTGATAATAACAACAACAAAAAAAACCTGACTGAAATCAGTCCCTGGATCCTTCCTTACTCATTGCAGAGTTCTAGATTACCAATAACACCATAAGAACAAATACATGCTGGGAATCCCACAGGCCCATTTGATTCTAACTAGGTTTATGGAGTGTCAAGCAGATAAACTGCCCCTCTGGGATTCCGGTAATGTCTGCAGAAGAGATCTCATAACACCCAATACAGAAACCACTTGGCAAGAAGTGAAAAAAACCCCATCCTTTCTAAAGGACTGGTTTTCCATGTGTCAGGACCCTGATGGAAAAAATCTGTCAGGAAGCAGAGAAAAAAATTACCAAAAAGATTTTTGACAGGTAATTTTAAATCAGAGGGTTTATAGAAGGCAAGAGTGTAACAGAACTAAACTGATCCTGCTGCATGCATAAAACTAGTATTATTTGCAAAGTCGATTTTGAGTAACAAAGTCCTATAATCAATGTATAAAAACAAATTCGAGTTACTCATTGTAGGAAGTCTGGCGAAATCAAAGCCAAGTTTTCAGAAGACTTAGCAGGAGAAGCGATGATTTCTCTAGGGCGATGCGTGCAGTTGAAGTGCAGTGAGATGCAGGCACAGGAGGTGGTGGTGTGCTGCCCCCCAGAGACTGCACTGCTCCTCCCAACTTCGGTTTTTTAGCACTGACAGCATCCTTGAGTCCTTGCTTTGCCCTTGGCCCAAACAGCTCTGTTCCAGTCAGTTCTGAGCTTTGTATGCTTCAATAGGAAGGAAAAGGGATTATTCCTTTTGAGGGAAAGGAATAATCTTCTTTATTGCTACAGCTGAAACTTGATTCTAAAGGCGATAGAGAGATGCAGTGTCCTCTGCTTTTTGTTATTCTATATCTGA